AATAAAGCGATAGAGCACGTCCTTGGGTTCAGCTCAAGTTATCATGACTCGAGAGCTTTCCTCTTTTTTATTCAAGGATTATCTGACAGTCTATTGTATTTAAATACCTTACCCTCGAATATTTAAAGAGTTTTATCACCGTGAGCCGTAAGGAAAGAAAGGAAAGATTGCATTTCATAAAGATAACTGAAATAAAAAAAACACTTCAAGGTTATTACATAATAACAATCCCTGTCGCATATAACTAATTTTTTTGTTTTAACCCCAAATAATTGTGCGAACAAATATTATTTCAAAGTATAACGCAGAATTGCGTGCATAACATATGTTTAATAATATAGGGCTAGTTCCTGGCCGCTTTCACGAAAACATTAAATTCACAAAAGAATATAAAAACAGAATTCTGACATCTATTTATTCAAATTGGGTCAGTCTCGAGAGAATAATATGGGGGTGCGATTCTTTTTTCCCGCTTTAATACGCGTTAAAAACCGATCTCACAGGCTAAGTAAACACAGTGGTATTTCATATTTGTTGGCTCCTTTAAAAAAAAAATATTAAAAAATGTGCCAAAATCAGCGTAAATGAAAATTTGAAAAAAAAAAAAAATTCATTTTGATGACGCCTGATATTAATATCTTCATATATGTAAATGGTGATTTGTTGTTAAGTCGGACAACCTTATCTACTACATTGCATTGCGAAATTTGCCATAATTCATGCTTCAAACTCAGTGCGTTTGCATAATCCGGTTATGTGCGTTTTGGTTAAGATCGATAAACCATGCTGGTTTCTTGAGATATATGTGTGTATTAACTTTCACGTTATTTTTGACATTTTTTGATTAATTAGGAAATGGGAAAATCGTAAGAGTTTTCGTTTTCAAGTCGAAAAAAAAACGAAAAACACCCGATTAATTAAGTAACAACGACATAAGCAGTAACTTTACAGGTGACAATGGCAACTTTAAATTATACTAGAAACAAAATTGTCTTCACGTAGTTAAGTCGTGACCTTGAACTCTTTTCTGCTCGACGCTTATACAGTAGACTGTCCTCAGATTAAGGTATTTACTTGAAACTACAAAGATATATTGCCGTAATAAATTATTAGACTTTATGAGTCAACAAGTTCTATAATTATAAATTTAAATTATTAACGATTAGAAGCCTTTCTCTAGATTCACGCAATGCTGTATGTTAAAAACGTTCAATCACGCAGTGACGTCTTAGTTACCCATCAAGCTTCCGAACAATAAACATGGCGGCGCGCGGGAAATTTGAAATCCTAAAAGATTCGAAGCGAAACGCTCAGCATTCAAAACAGACAAACAAGTATCGACTTCAAATCACTGAAACAGTTTAAACACAAACATAAACTTGTGATTAAGAACAAATCTGTATTTTAGCCAAGATTCCCTTTAAAATAAATTTGTTGATAACAAAACCTTCAAAGTTGCAATAACGTATCTTAACCATATTCTTTTTTTCAAACTCTTATCAGTTGCCAGTTCTGCTCATCCATCTACGAATGTTTTGAGGGGACGAGGTTTAGTAGAAGTCGCCATGCTGTCTAAAAGTCCGGAAACAGCTTGAGAAAGACTGTCCAAAACAATTTTAATTCGTTGTTTTTCAATATCATTATCTTTTTCACTTGTGTCAGGATCGCCATGATCACTCCCCTTTTCTTCCTCACAAATCGACCTTCTCTTCATGTTAACCATGCGGCATTCGTTAACGAACAGAAATGTCCATATTACAATAAAAGCTCAATTACAAATCTCCAAGCTCGAGCTCGTAACTCATCAGTCATTGAGGCGCCATTGGACGCATAAGGCCTTAAAGCTTGTAATTACAGGAATCAATACATCTTGAATGAAACCACCACCCTCTTGCACAGGGATTTGGTTCTTTTTCGTGGAAAAAATATTTGGTTCAGCGGGACTCACAAGAGCATCCTTCTATGTTATCACTTTAATTTACTTCTATCTTCTTCGGAGATTGCTGTATTTTCTGTAAGCCAGCTGTAAAATAATCTGCCCTAGTATGTGTATCTGTTGTGGAGTAGCGATCTTAAGGAGAAACAGACGCTGGTGGAAGGAGTTGGAGGAAATCAAGATTGTTCTTACTACTCGTGATATCATCACAGAATGAGGGTAGTAAGAAGCCAATCTTCTTTAGAGGGATTCGGGCTGAAGTCCATTGTTTATATTTTGTCTCATTAGTATACAGTTCTGCGTACGGAAGGCATCATGTTAGATATGCTGAATTGACTTCAAGTAGTTAAAGAGCCAGTGAGAGCAGTTAAAGAGCTAGTGAGCTCTTTGGGTGTAATATTCAAGAAGAAATTGTCCTTCAAAAACTATAAAATTTTTGAATGGCAAAAATGTTAATGGGCTCATACATTCTTTGTTAATTTTTTACAAGCAAGCCCAGGTAATTGCAAAAGAACTCTCCCACATCTTAGTTCCAAAAGGTGTCTCTGAGAAACTGCAAAGAAAGGCTGTTATTATTTCGGAGCGCAAATTTTTAATAATTTACCGTCAAGCATGAAAGAAACTGAATCTCTGTTAATTTTTAAAACAATGATTAAGGACCTTTTTAGTGAAAGCTCTTAGAATTTTTAAATATTGTATATAGTTTTCATCTTTTACTACTAATAACATACATCGTAGTGTTTTTAGGACTTAAATTGTTATTTTAATTCTATTTGCTGACGCGTTTACGCTGGCTAAATATGTTTATATTATCATTATTATTATTATTATCATTATTATCATAATTATCATTATTATCATTATCATTCTTTATGAGCTGATTGTTATTCTTTATGAGCTGATCAAAGTTTTACATACAGACAGAGAGACACACAGGCAGACGGACATATGGGTGGACATACTTTTTAAAATTTATTTACCCTGTATATATTGCATTACAATTACAGAATACTTACGTTACAAAACTTACAATTTTCAACACAATACTAAAATCGACTTATACAGCTCCAAGACGGCGAGGGCCATCGAGTATTTGAAAAGAGAGTTAACGAATCGAATGTACTTTAGCGTGGTCTGTACTCTTATCGACAACGATACGCGTCATCACAGTGGTCAAAATGCTAAACCACATTTCGATTTGTTTTTTACCAAAACAACAACGTCTAAGAAAATATTTTTTTCAGAGCGTGAGCAGAAAATGGCATGGCATTGCGTGACACACTGACACATTGACGTTGAAAATAATTTTTTCAACAATTGTGAACATTACATAAAAAATAATTATATTAAATGGAGGTGGGTCTAGATTAAATGTTACCCATCTCCCACAGTATTTATTCAAAGGATGTCTAAGACATGTCAAAACTGTTAATGCGAACAGCTATACAAAGGAGCTTCTCAATTAACATCAAACGAATTTTAGAACTTTAGTTTCTTAATTAAGTTTCCAAAGGGTTAAAATGAGCGATTGCCTATAAAAATGTACTCAAACTTTGAGTTTGTACTTTTGATGACTTCTCACCCATAAAAGGGAGTGCGAAACATTCTTCACAAGTTCCGGTAGGAACGCTTAATTACTCAGTCTTCGAAAATGGGCATTATTTGTTTATTGTCACAATTTAATACTTCATTCTAATGCGTCAAGGAAAGATGAACAGATGTATTTAAAATATTTTATATTTAGGAAATAATGATATTCTATTACATCAGTGTTTAAAAGTTCCTCGGTGATGAGCAAGTAAAACGCACGCTCAAAAAATGGAAACCTGGTTTTGGATTCTTGGCTGGTCTCTTTCCATCCTAACGATAGCTGGAAATGGATTTATTATCTTCCTTGTCTACAGCAAACGGCAGCTTCGTACCAAAACCAACGCGTTTGTGGTTTCACTGGCAGTGGCGGACTTCTGTGTCGGGATAAGCGTTGTTCCATCAATGTTCTTCTGTGAGATGGCAAATGGGTGCAAGCGACAATTTTTCTGGACAAGGCCTCCAAGGTTGCTGTTCAGCTACGCGTCAGTGATGAACCTGTACAGCTTAGTAGTGGATAGATACATTGCAGTTGTCAAGCCTTTCAAATACCTAACCTTCATGAAGCGTCGCCGTGTAATTCAAATGGTCTCCTTATCTTGGGCAATCCCACTCGCCTACGGAATTGTTTTCTCACTGTACTTTTTTATTTTTAAAAACCCTCATTTCCGGAACTCTCTGTTTTGGGTAACAGTGGTATTTTTTGAGCTTCTTCCCTGTTTTATTTTGATAGCGAGCTTCGCATTCATGTTACAAGTTATTTGTAAGCACGAGCGTGCCGCCCGCACCAGAGCACGACAGTTACGTTTCAACCATCATTGCGTTTCGTTTAGAATTCAAGAAAAATCCGCGGTCAAAATAATGGCAGTTGTTATAGGCTTGTTTCTACTGTGTTACGGATTTTATATTCGCTGCTCCTTTAAAATTATTTTAAAGGAAAAAAACTGTAATGACGAGGAGTATAAAATACCTCTGTTAGTTTTAAGCTCCGCCATTAATCCTGTAGCTTACGCTTTCTTCAAGAGAGACATTAAGAGGGAGATTAAAAGACGCATCTTTTGTGTCATCCGTGAAGCATGAAGCGCAAGGCTTTTCATGAAACATAGGAACAATTGTTTAAGTCCAGAAAACTCCTGTAGGAGTGTCTTTATTTATTGTCGCAGTAAAGAATTGGTATTTATCATTAGCTATATAGTAGACTTGGAACAGAAATATACCTAGAATGTTAAGAGATTAATTAAAATGTTTTACCTCTTTTACCAGCCTTCAATTCAATTTTAAACAACTGATTACGAGGGGAAAAAGACTTTATAAGCTTTTACAGTGATTTGACTTAAACTTAGCTTTGGACACTGTCAAGAGAACTGTCTATGGAGT